CTGAACTCTGGCATTGAATGTGACTGAGATTCCCTACTGCTATGTAAGACCAGCTCTAAAAGCGGTCCACTTGCTATAACATGCAGCATTTATAGCAGCAACGACTAAATTCAATGTTTTTTCTTCCCAGACTTTTGAAGATAAGTTGTTCTTCATCTTCAAAACCTACCCAGGTGCTGTTAAATCATTTTGTGGCTTTTTAGCTGGGCTTTCAAAATGTAATTGTAGTTCTCTGCCTTCCAGAATAAAGGGTGGTAAACAGTCTATTTACCTCATTTATTAAATTTCACACAGTTAAATTAAGTGAAATAAGTGCTTGATTCAGATCCCATTTGTTTCAATAGCAGTCTTTCCACTGAGTTTTAGTCAAGCTTTAAATGAAGATCAGAAGATGATCCTCATTTACATCTAATATGCTCTTCTGCTATGCCTTTTAAACTTAAATATTACCAGAGGCTCTTCAAACCCAGCAGCGTGTATTAACTTGCTTGCTTGTCAACATGCACAAATAACCAAATTTCGTCTGGAAGCCCTAGAGTAAGTGTTAACATTTATTCCCATGAATGCACAGTTGTTGAAAACAAACTTTTAAAGCTTTTTTATCGTCTTGCATTTGTTCTTTGTAGTCAGTTGATAGGACATTTGCTACAGTAGTAACTTAACAGCACCTTTTATTGTTTGAAGCAGTAAATACTCTTTATCTTAGTCCTGTCTGCAGTTTTTGTCTTTGTTTTGCTCGAGAAGGTGACCTCATCCTTCAGGGACAAGATGTCCCATAGGGAACTTTGAGGCCTAGATCTTTCTGTAGCTTTCCAGTTTGGCTCCACAGGAGGCTGGAACTTACTGTAGACCAGCCTGGGAGGAAGCGTCGGGAGCGATGCCAGCTGCGCGGGCCCAGAGGCTCGGTGCAACACTCACCGTGGGTGCTGGCAGCACTTCCCGTGCCCTCAGTGGGCAGAACCACCCACAGAGGTAGATGGGGTTATCATGGAGGTGGGCAAGTGTAGTTCAAGGCAGCAAATGAAGCTTGTGTGGTTGCTGTTGTGTTTCAGCAGTTCTCCACGTACGTTGCATCTCTAGAGATGTCCGTCTGCTTATCTGGGAGAGCTACATATATATATATATGTATGTGTGTATGTGTGATCATATATTTATTGGTGAAAAAAATAAGGTTGTGTTGTATTTGTAATAGCAAGCTTTTAGTGTTCTACTTGGAATCAGCTGTAAGTGGTTTCTCCTGTCCTTTTTGTGCCAGCCTGAGTGCTCACATAGAATTTACACCTCAGGGGATTCAGAAATACGTGCATGAGAACCACAGCTTACTTCAACATAAGACTTGATTTAATATAAATAAAGAAAAACATACGACTTTTTTCACTGGAAGGCACAAATTGAAATGTGCAATTGCAGTGTCTCAAGAAATCCCACATGCTAAAATGTTCACAACGCCGTTTAATGCCTTTAACTCTCCTTTCTCAAGTTAACTCATTTTGAAACAATTTTAAACAATTCAGTGCTGATGTAACTAGCAACTGATCCCATATTTTCATGGCCACACATCTTCAGTTACTTTTTATTGTGCTATAAAATCCTGCTGCTTCATAGATGTTGCCAGAACAAACAATGAAGAATGTAGGGATTTTTAGACCATGGAACACAGGCTTATTTATCCATTGTCATCTACTTGTTTTCCCAAATATTTTGGTGTAGATCTTGAGGTGCCAGAGCCCTGCCAGACATGTGTCACCAGATTCAAGGCTTGGTGAGCCATGCCCATTGTTGGAGGTCTCTTGGCTGCTTGATGCTGTGCTCTGTGCAGAGTTTTACACCACTTACAGCAACACAGTCATACAAACTTCAACATGGATGCCAGGAGAACCATTTTGTTTCTATGAGCCATTTCCCAGGGCCTGAACCTCACATGAATGGAGCTGTGTAACAGTCCTTCTCACACTCCAGAGCTCTGCCCAGTGGATGCACACAGTTTTTTTGCAATTAATATAGTAGCTGTGCTGGTGTATGAAGCTGGAGGATGGAAGAACTGTAGCCATGGACTTCTAGCCAGGGCCTGTGCTACCTGATATCCATCCTTGGGGGAAACAAGCCACTGGAGCACACAGAGCTGCTGGGACTGACACCAGGGTCTATTGCTCCTTGCACGGTCTTGTTTGGGTACACACAGTGCAGGACAAGCTTACTTTGGTCGGTACATGGATTTCAGACAGCATGAAGATCACTGTTCTAAAACACAGGCATGGGCAATGCTTTCTCTTGGAGGAACCAGAATAAGTGGGATGGCAGAATTTCCATCCAGCATAACCAATATACCACCAATTCTGCCTTTTCCCCACTCCTTAATTTCCTCCTCAGTGGTTCCCAAATCTCATTCCTTTCCATAGCACTCAGTGGTGTTTCCCTGTACACCACTTGGGATATCTAAGCTGCAGTTGGCATTTTGTCTTGAAGAGCTCCATTTTGTATTTTGTAGCATCCAGCTTCAGTTTCTCTGTTGTGTGTAGGGAGCAGCAAGTCTAAAAATGGCAAGCTAGGGCATGAACTCATCACTTTGCCCATCCTGATATTGATATATTTGTAGAGCCAAGCTTATCACCATGAGTGACTGGACACTCATGGAAAAACTTCATGGGGAGACCTCAGAGTCCATGCTGACTTCACACAGCGCAGTCAGTATGGCTTGAGTTTCTATAAGTATGGTTAAAAGGGGAAGGAAGGTGCCTCTGTGGTTTTATGCACAAAATTTTTTAAGTGTTGTGTCTAATATTTATAAACTGTTCATTATCTTGGTGTATATATGTGTGCGGATGTTTGCATAGCGGCTGAATCGTATGAAGTTCACTTATTCTTCTTTATTTTCTCACTGACAGATTGTAGAAGCAACTCATTATTTAAGTTCACTGGTGACTGCACTTGCAATTGACCTGGCCTTTTAACCTTGAGCAATAGCTCAAAAGAGAAGGGCCCCATGAAAACTCTAAGTTACCTTTGTAGCAGCCTCTCCAGAGGGTGCCAGTGGGAAGAGCAGCCCAACAGCAGTACCCCAGCTGCTGGAGGGCAGTCTTGGGGAGCTTGTCTTTCCAGCCATCATTCTCAATAAATAGCCTGCAAAGGTCAAGGCAAAATCCTGGTGCACTGGTCGCTGGCCATGGGTCAGGGCCGTGGGCTGAAATGTAGCTTGGAGAAGGGCTGAAGCCTGAGAGGAGCATCCTGGTACCACTGGGAGTGGGAGCTGCCCCAGGCAGTGCCTGCTTTGCAGGGAGAGGAGAGCCTTCCAATGCAGAGGCCACCACCCTTGGGGCATGCCAGGGCACCACCAGGGATTAATGCCAGCACCTGCCTCCCTTCCTTCAGCATTCTGCCACTGATGGACCCAGTGGATCCTGGTTTCTCTCTCTGGGTACCTCATACTATCCCCAAGTCTTTTTTGGGGCAACTGCATCCCAGGACCTCATTTTCTGTCTACTGTGTGTTTTGCAGTCTTTGATGTAACACCTTGCCTTTGACTATAGTTCATGTAATACTGTTCAGGGAGCTTATTTTCCTAAATTATGTAAATCAGCTTGTGCAGGTGATCTGTCCCTCTTTGTTATCTAGAACTACAGCAATGCTTGTGTCATCTGCAGGAATCCTCAGCAGTGATTTGAAGTCTTAGAGATCACTGTCAAAACCATGTGAAGAAAACTGATCTAAACTCAGGTTATCTTTCAGTACCTCAGTGGAAATACAGTCTCTCAAAATTCCCATCTATTATTCATTCACCTTTGGAAATCAACTTTTCCCAAAACTGTAGAAAATTGCAAGGTGACAATTCCTGTTTCTTCCAAATTTTGTTGGTATTTACAGAAAATATCTGTATCAATCACAGTTTTATCCTAAAACATGCAGAGCTTAAATATGGGCTAGGCCATCCTGTCCACGGACTTGCTACAGATTTATACCGGCAAGAGAAGAATTTAATCCCCCATCCAGTTCACATTGAAGCTGGTGGAAGGACTGATTTCAGCACATCCTGGTCTGGCCTTAATCTCTGGAGGATTAATAAACATACATGCAGAATTAAATAATGGAAACAAAGAAGAAAAATAGAAGTATTAGTAAATGATATTGGGGAGGGGAAAAAAGCACCCTGGGGAATTAATAAGGTTAAATCCCTTGTTGTCAGAAATACTGTGACTTTGGTGAGGTCTTCATCCAGGAGCGATTTGATTTCTGTGTGATTATTCTTTCAGGCAAAGGCACTCACCAGCAATCAGACCATCTGTCATGATGCCTCCATCCTTTGCAATTTAGGATATGACTTTTGACATTGAGGGGCAGGTCTCCCCTAAGTGGAGTTAGGAAGGGGAACCTAAAATTACATGTATCTGGAAAAGTTGTTTTTGTCAAGTAAATAGAAATAAGAGATCATCTGGGAAAGCTTTCCTTCAAAGCATCTTCTTTTTCTCCACTAGGGTGTTAGTTTTGGTAATTTTTGCAATAACAGTTTCCATCTAAGTGTTTTTAAGAGCTCTGTTGTTGTTTTGGTCCCAGTGTGTCTAAAAGTTGGAATTAATCTCAGCAACTGCATTACTCTAAACCACACTGTTTGAGCAAGAACTTACTAAAGCCACATGAGGTTGTTTTTCACAATGTTTTAAATTAAAGTATTTGGGTATGTGCAAAAAATCATTTTCTTCTGCAGAAGAATTTCCAGTGCCCAAATGTTGCTGTCATTTTGCTGGAACTGGACTTTTCAGGCATTCTATGGGTTTGCAAACACTCTTCTCAAAGGAAAGTGCATGTGAGCACTGTTTGTATTCCTCACCTGTTTCTTAGCTTTCCTTTTCATAACTTCCCATGGCACATTGCAACAGATTTGGTTTTTCTTTTGTGTCACATGCACTTTCCTCCCTTTTGAAATTCTTACTCAGTGTGTTAAACGCACTCAACCCAGTAATACTGAAATTTCTCCATCCCTTCTCTCTATACAGTTGAGAAACTTGTGAATATAAGAAATATTTCTGTTTAAGTGATTGATTACATAAAATGTAATGTCACTTTCTTGTTCCAACCTCTGGTATTCCATACCCTGTTTTCTTTAGGGAAAACATTGCATGGTTCTTTCTCTTTCTAATAGGTTAGTCATGATGACAAATGTCCTGTCTGTTCTAGTACTTTGTTATAAGCTTAAATATCATTATTTTGATCATTTGACAGCTAGTAAGCTGCACCTTCCTGGTTTTCTCTGCAGATTATGTGGATCTATTTGATAGCTGTTAAAAAAATGCCTGATTCAGGGGACCTGCCCTTATATGTGCATATTTATGTTTGAATGGCAAAACTTCTTCATTTAATTTCTGAGAGCCCCTTAGATGAAGATCCTCATAAAGTGGAAACAGCTTTTCCCCCAGGGAAGATCATGGAGGTGCAGGGTATGGCCACGATCTCCTCTGTGTTGTGCAGGAGTGACCCAAGGGATACAGGGGGCAAGGATTGGGGTGGTGTGATTGCTCATACAGACCCAAAATGAACAGTATTTCCTATAAAGCTATTCCAGTTTACTTGAAAGGTTTTCCTCCCACACTCTGATAAAGGTGTATGGGGTGTGTACAGCACTGATGGTGGCACACCCAGTAGCACTATCTCCCTGGGCATTCAGTGGCAGCTTTGTATCCCAACCAAGCACCCAGCAAGGTACTGCTCTTCCATGAAGTACCTAAAAGCAATCAAAAGTGAAATTAGTGTTATTGAGTGAGGAGAGAGAAACATTTATGAATGCACTGTCAAATTAAACAAATATCCCTTATCTACAAGTTTTGTGTTATTGTCAGTAATGGCTAGAAAACATGCAAAAGTATATAAATTAATCATACCAGGGCATATATAGTTATAAATGCCATATGAAGCATGGAAATGGACTTGCATATCTCTGCCTTTGTGAGTTATTATTTTGATGTGTCTGTCAGAGCTGAGGGGAGACTAACACAGGCTAAGCATGGATAGAAACAGAGGATGATTTGGGGATCAGTGATAATTTGGTTTCAAAGCATTCTCTGGGCTGGGGTTTTTCTCAAGTCTGAGGCAAATATGTGTGACAGGCTTGGGACTTGAGTAATCCGAGATTTTCTGGGGAAAAGATGAAAACAGATTTTACTTGTATCAATGCAATTGCTGCAGGGACCACTTTGTTTAATCTGAGCTTGTATGGATTTGGGAAAATATTGCCGCACAGCATTACAGCTGTGTGGATGCCCTCTGTCTCCCTATGAAAATGCCATTTAGGAAATGCTTTGGTTTCATGCTACTACTTCAGGCTGCACAAGAAAAATGTGGCCAAGGAGCAAAGGGTTGCAGAGGGTTAACCAGTTTGCATCACCTAGAAATACTTCTGGAAGTCCAAGTTTGAGGCAGAGAAGAGGAGGAACAAGCATGTCTGTGGACACACAGAAGGTTTTAGTAGCCAGGACAGCCAACCCCACACTTTTCATAAGTACAAAATTCAACAACTTCGCATTCATCAGTATAGCGTGCCTCTTTCCTGAGCCCTTTGATTGCTGCTGCCTTATACAGCACCTGACATTTGGGTTGTTGCAGCAATATCCATATTTTTGTTAGGCTGTCCGTTGAGGTAATGCTGTAACGGATTCAAGATCAACATCACTTTGGCATTAAGGAATTGCAGCATGTGGGCTGAAATCTATATCACGTAGAATTTAAATGCTTCATGGCAGAAATCCCATGATGCTGCCCCGCAGAATTCTGGGGTTGACCCCATGTCACAGGAATGGTGGCTGGGGCTCTAAGAGTCTAGGAGATCACCCTGGCTGGGGTAGGAGAACCCTGCACTCCCAGCATGCAGCCCTGCTCTCAGCACTGCCACAGACAGCAGCCTCTGGGGACGTGCCCTCTGTGTCAAAACTTTCCAGACCAGTTGTGTTTTTATTATATTAACATCACAGATAAAAGCAAAGCTTTCATCTCTCAGGGATCAGCCCATGCCCTGAAGTTCAGTTCTGGATCCTGGCTTTTCTACTGGTCAAGGATGTTCTAACCCTGAATGTTTTGCTCTCCTTTATAGCTAAAATGTGTAAGTGTCCACGTAGACCATATATTACATGGTACATGCTGCCATAGCCTCCAGCAGCGCCAAGCAAGTATCCACGCCCACCACTGGCTCCTAAACCTGGATAGTGCTGGCTTTGTTACACATTAAAACAAAATTACATATTATATATAGAATTAGAATCTGTCCTTTAGAGGGCAAATAGGTTGAGCTCAATGGAGGTTAAATCAGAACAAATTCCATCCATTCAAGCATGCATGTCCCACTTAAAACTCTGCAGAGCAAGGTGAGCACCTCATTGTCTGTGCATTAGCCTCTGGCCAGAGTGGTATTCACACTGTGGTATTATATACAGATAATTATAGTGTGTATCTTTTTAGAACACAGTTTCCAGAAGCAAAGAAATTGCAGGAATGATGTTATTCATCAGATACAAGCAGGCCATTTTCTTTTCAAATGTTCTAGTTGGAAAATTATTCTGCGCCTTTGCCTGAGTTCAGTAATACTACTACAGGGATTTACCTTGTTTTGTTTGATTAGGGTTTTATTTGCTCAGCATAATTGCTTATGACCCAGGTTCTCATTTGGTAAATATTGGTGCAGTGAAGTTCACATCTCTTTGTGCAAACAAAAATTGGTGCATGAGGGAGAAGGCTCCACTGTGGTATTCGGATTGATACTCTGACATCCACACACTGTTGATTTCTTAACAGAAGCAGCCCATTTTTCTTCCACTCTCCAGATTGTAACTAACATCTCATCTACAGCTACTGTTTACTGGATGGAGGATGTGATGAGGGGACCAGTGGTTTTGCATGTAGCTTAAGACATCTTTGGTAGAGAACCATCAAAGTGCTCTTTGCTCGCAGGACAGAGGGAAAAAAGTAGGTCCTGGGGGACCAAGCTGAAGCATTTTTAGAGTTTGTTATGTTTGAGTTTCCCTCTGCAGCTTCACAAGCAGAGAAGCTCTTTCTCCTGACTATTTGCTTCTGCCTCCTTGCTGTACTTTGAGCTGTTTCCAACGCATGGAGCACCATGGTGAACCAAATCAACAAGATTTCCTGAGCTAAAAATACTCTTTGTCCAATTATTTATTTATTGTCCTATATTATTTGTAGCTTGGATTAACTCTTTGGCCTGTTTTCCTGAGAGGTCCCATGGGAGAGGGAGAGGGAGATGGAGAAGTGCAAGAGTAACCATGCCCTCTGACTGCTGCCTCAGGCGTGACCTAGTCAGCAGTGAAAAAGTCTATCTTTCTCAAGACAGCTGACCCAAGTTCAGAGCTCCAACACTTGTCTGATCCCAAGAGAAGCACATTTAAAGGAGTGCAATTTGTCTTAGGGGTTGTTTCAGCCAGCTGGGCTGTTTTGTTGTATGATCTGACCAGTGCCAAGCTGCAGAGAGTCAATCAAGGGCACAGGTGGCCAGGAGGATGCCACCAGAGAAAGCTCCTCCTTACAGCCATCATCTGGTTCAGGTGTAGCATAAACACTGCAGCTTTTGCATTGGGCCTGTCTGGAGTATTAGGGCAGATCTTTGCTGGTAACCTCAGAGATGCAACAAGTGCATCAGGTCACAGAAGACCACAGCAGGAGGACTTATATGTTTTTATTTCTGTGTGCAGTCTAAACTGCACCTGCTCCTGCATTGTGTTGGAGTGCTTTCCAAAATCACACTGTTCTAAAGATCAGATATGAGATGCCTAAACTGAGCATCCAAGCTGAGGTTTTGGACAGTCTAAGAATCTGTTATTACTAGTTTTTCCTTGGTTATAGGATAACATTGCTTAAAATTCAAGATGCCCTCTGGGATGACTCCTTGACTTTTCCAGTCAGTTCAAAGACTCTTCATCCCTGTCCCAGCAACAACACATTTTCCAGAGCAGACTACCCATATGACAGTATTTCTAACTTTCAAAATATGACCACTCCACAGAATAAGAACCTACCTGTGACTCGGATAATTTTTGGTCCTTGTACTTGAAGCAGACAGCAAATACAGATTTGAAGTATGAACACAACACAACAGTTGAGTTTGAAACTGGAACAGAAACTGAAGCAGAAAATCTTACTTAGAATTTCTAAAGCAAATGTTAAGAAATTCAAAAATTCAAAATATATACAAAATGGTCAAGCAGCTTAGATGATCTACTCATGTACTCACAGTGTTCCCATTTACCAGCAGTTGCTGCTCTGATTCCAAACACTATAAATGTTTCCCTAGATGTATAATGAGAAATGACTGAGGAATGTGAGCGAACAGCCTTGCTTTTAACATGGTCCAGAGTATTTTAATCTGTTATCACTGTAACTCCTAATGCTGATGATTGTGCTGAGAAGTACCACATGTTAAGTGAATAGTTTTGATGACTGGTAATTGTGTTTTTATCACTGTCATTACGTTGTTTTTCCTACTAATAAAGCATCAGTTGTTCGGTAAATCTTCAACAGGTGTTATCCTTTGTTACTAGAACTGAAACATATTTCCAGCTTTGTCAAGAGTCTTTGTTACCTGCTTTCCAGCACCCCAGTTTGTGATTGGTGCTTCTATGAATTATGGCTCTATAAAAGTATTGTTTCAGGTATTTATTTCTCCAAGTTAAAAGAATACAATTCTTCCGATGTGTTATGTAGAGCTGTGCAGTCAGGATGGGGTTGCATTATACAAACAATGAGATAACAGCCTCCTTTTGCTTCCACTGAAGAACAAAGTGGAGCTGAAGGAGCCCCTGGAAGGGGTTGTGAAGCTCTTTACCACATTGTCTTCCATGTCATTCTCCTTTGCTCTGTATTAGCATAACTGAGAGATGTGTTCATTTGACCCCCTGTAGAGACAGCTCAGGGAATGACTGTATGAGTGCAGAATTTTTGAGGGCTGTGTCTGGTGTTTTTCTTCAGAGTAATTTTGCATTTTGCTCATTCATTTCAATCAAATACAATGGTGATAACTTCTTTCAGTTCCTCTTGATTTAATAAAGCAGAGTAATATAATTTCAGGAGGGGATTAATTTTTTCATCATGCTGTTATAAATATTTGGAATCTCAGTGGTGCTCTGTGTGACACCTCTTCCTTCCCCACCAGGCAGAAATGGATTTGAGTGCCAAAGATGAATATGCCAGAAAATCTCCTGAATCTGTCATACTCCCAAAATGTCAGAGTGGCAAGAGATGTGTAAGCCTGGAGGTTCAGTTAGGCCTTAAAACCCGAATTTGTGGCTTAAGGATCCTTCAGGAAGCCCTCCTTCCTCCTTCTGAGCTTACAAGGAGACCCAATGCCCCTGAAAGTAACGTGAAATAGGTCCTCAGGGAAATCACCTTTGGTGGTACTTGGCAGCATGTCAGTTTCAGTAGTGTTCATTGGAACTGTGTCAGTGTTCTCAGGAACTGAGTTATGCCTGTGATAGAGAAAACTTGGTGCTCCCTGTGTACAAAAGCCTCATATTGAAGCTTTTCTATAACAGAAAGTGATGGAGGGTTATTCCAGCTCTAAATTCTGGTACATCTCTGTCCCTGGGAAACACTGCATACTTCCTACACTACTGCCATTAGAGTCATGACAGATAATGTTCTTGTTTCTTATGAAGCTGATGCTTAACTTACTGTCGTGCTTTTAAAGATAAGGGAACAACAAGGTTTTGCCCCTTAGTTATTCTTCCTTTCCTTCATGGAGCTTTCTCCTTTGCTTCACAGTTTGTCAAGGGACGAATAACAAGCTGACCCAGCTGGGACATGTGGAAGACCATTTCACCAGCCTGCAGAGGATGTACAACAATTGTGAGGTGGTACTCAGCAACCTGGAGATTACATATGTGGAGCACAATCGTGACCTCTCTTTCCTGAAGGTTAGTGTTCATGGCCAGCAGGGCCTTCTCTGCTACAACAAATCCTACTCCATTTTATAAGTGCAAAGGATCAGCTGCTGATACAATTCTGTCTTGATCCAAAAGTGTAGCTAGCTAATGTGAGAAGAATTATAGCCTACAGTCTAAGCATACTTGTAGGCTGCAGGATGCACTCAACCCTACTGTACAGATCAGGTACTTTGAGAAATAGCTTTTCAAGCACTTGCCAGCCTGTGCTGGGTGCTATGCAGAGGGGTTTCTTCATATTTATAATTAGAATTACATCCTTACCTGTTGCCTCACTCACAGAGCAAAAGGCTTTGTGGTGCTGTTGGGCAAAGCAAAGCACAAAGCGAGTGGCAGATTTTGAAGTGTAGGGGCCTTTTCCCTGCCCTCCAAACTGTCATCCTTTCCCCTGCCATGGTGGTGAGTGCCTCTCCAGCCTGAAATGCTCACACCCTCAGCAGGCAGGCAAGCCCTGTGCAATAACTTCCCACATGGATTCTTCAAGTGATCTTCCAGATAATCCCCTGTGATTGACACATGGGCTACTCCCATCTCAACATTTTTTTTGTGCACAAGTTCATGGGCAAATTAAGGCAAGCTGAGGAGGGAGTGAACAGAGGATGGATGTTAAAATGCTGCCACAGCATGGGGAGGTGCCATGGCTGACATGGGGACCTCCAGGTTCTCCACCAGCAAGCAAGATCAAAAAATCTATGGTTTGAACACATGGGTTGCAAATATGGTATTGCCATTCTTCTTTCCCAAACACAACCTGATCACGGAGCTCAGGGTTCCAAGGAACATAACAAGTGTCTTGAAAATTTACTGTTAGTCTTCATAGAAAAGGAAAATATCCTAAGTATTAGTCTGAAGGATTTTCATTTACGGTGATTTTTGTAGCAGGTAGACATGCATACACTTCACAGTGCAAGACAAGGATTCACCCAAATGCAGGAACAGTACCTCACTTGTCTTTTTGTCCTGTAAAGATATATATTATTTTAAAAGGAGAAGGTTGCCTTTTCTTCCCTTCTGATGAGTAAGGGAAGGGGCACAGAAGAGACAATGTAAAAGCCTGAATCAGGTGGCATCTGTGTGCTGCCAGTTGTTGAAGGCTAGGCAAGTGTTTATGGGAAGCATCACAGTTGCCATTGCATGCATGCTTGCTCTTTTCTCCTGCATCCCCTAGTCAGCCCCACTTACCCTTACTTGGGGACAGAACAGGGATGGCCCCCTGGTAGCTGCTAAAGGATGAGTTTATACATGCTTAACCACCAAGGTTTTTCACATATTCCCTTTTTCTTCTTACATTTATTTATTTATTTTTAATGAGATTAAGTGGTCTGTCATTCCTTAAAATTGAAAGATGGTGGATTGGAGGAGTGGGAGGTGGAAAGCAGTTATTGAAGAATTCTGTGGATTAAGCATCTTGTTTCTTCTGTTGCTCTCTCAGACAATACAGGAGGTTGCAGGCTACGTGCTCATCGCACTTAACATGGTGGATGTCATTCCCCTTGAGAACCTCCAGATCATCCGAGGCAATGTGCTGTATGACAACTCTTACGCCCTGGCAGTTTTATCCAACTACCACATGAATAAAACCCAGGGGCTCCGACAGCTGCCAATGAAGCGGCTTTCAGGTGAGACACGGGCAGGAGGCAGAGGCACCTCTAAAGCCAACTTCCACTGTCAGCTCGTTGTTGTCAAGATCTGTTGGAGGTTGGCTCTCTCAAAGTCATATGCCATCAAACCTCCCACCTTAAAAGCAAGGATCTGAATGCAGTTTTCTAGTTGCTTTCCTGCTAGTCAGTCTTCTGCAAAAGACAAAGAAAATTCATCAAGATTAATCTTTGTTCCCAAAACAGGCAAAGAAGCATCCATTTGTTGTTTTATATTGTTTGATTCCAGTGCATGTATGTCAATATTTTCTGTTAGATCCCAGTGGGAACTGGTGATGTGTGTGTCTCACATGGTCTCTGGCTGTGCACACCAACAGTGCCTACTCTGCTAAGCGCTGTGGGTCCTAGAGGTGGCACCAGGCAGGAAACTACACTTAGTGGCATCTTCATGGCACCCGAGAAAAGTTTGCTCTCCAGAACGTGTCAGTCTGATCCTGGTGTTGGTTACACTGTCAGGAGTGTTGATGCCCTGCTGATTGTTCTTTTCAGTCAGTATCATGTGATTAAGGTGGAGAAAGATGTAACTTATTTCTCTTTCTTTAAATCAGAGACGTTGTGGGGATTTCTCTGGGGCAAATTAGGGATTTGCATCACTTAGCAAATTTTTTCTTGTTTCTGTAACAGAAATTCTCAATGGAGGTGTTAAAATCAGCAACAACCCCAAACTGTGCAACATGGACACTGTTCTTTGGAATGACATCATTGACACAAGCAAGAAGCCTCCCACAGTGCTTGAATTTGCAAGCAACCTATCTTCTTGTGAGTATTAACTTACCAAAAGTGCTATGTGTCCCCCTCTATTTCAGAGAGTAACATGAACATCCCATCTTTCATGTAGTGGGTTCCTGGTCCAACAATTTCTAGCAAAGGCCACCTAGCCCTGTTCCAAGAGAAAGGCTTTCATTTCTGCACCACTGGCCTGAGACAGAACTTTTCATGGTGGCTAGGTCCTTAATGCATAGCTCAGCAAAGTTTTTGGGAATGTTCCCCTTGGTTTAAGACAGTATCCTGAATATGTGCTCAGCTCATTAAAACGTGCATTCATTTGCTTTCCAGCAATCTTCTGTTTACAATGTAAGGCTCTGGTCTAGAAAAGCCATATGGGTAGCTTCATGGAGTTACTTGAAGCCTTTTGGGAGCTAAGGCCCAAGTTGAATGACATAAAATTCTCCTGTTTTGGGCTACATAGATTACCCTGGAAGAGATAATAATAAACAGGTAGATAAATCTGACACTTCAGATCAACAGGGAGATGCGGGGATATTTAAAAGTTTGTACAGCATTTGCTTAGAGGAGGCTCAAGCTAATCCTTCAGCCTTATGAGTCCCTTGTAAAATCCCCAGCCATTTCACAGAAAGGAGGGTTTATTTTCATTTCTGAGCATTTCATTTCTGGCACTATAAATTGGCAGGAAAACATATTTTCTTTATCTTCTTCCAGTTGCATAATTGCCTGAGAGCGAATAGCCAACTTCTGTGTTGACTTATTTTTCTATGGAGCCCTGGCGTAATCAAGGAGTTGCAAACTATACATGTCAGCAGAGGAGTTTGGCTCTGTACACCACAGAAATGTTAACCTTTAACTTTTCAGCTTAAAAAAAAAGAAGTTCTTTGGTCCCACACCAAATCAATCAATTCTTGGACAAGTATTGGCATTTGTTCAGCTATTTGATGGCTGACGGGGGGAAGGAGAATCACATGCTGTTAGTGGGAAG